TATATATATATATATATATATATATATATATATATTATACAATAATATATATTAATATATTATACATATTATATTATATTATAATATATTATAATATATTATACATATTATATTATATTATACAATATATATTATACAATAATAAATTTATTGTAAAAATTGCCAGATGGAATTCAGAACGTCGGACAAATTTTAAAAATTTAGCACTGTTCGCGCATCATTTTTAACATACTAAAAGGATTAAAGAAAGAAACTCCTAATTGGCTCTCGTTCACTGCAATCGATAAAGAAAATTCGTATTTTGCATAAAGATCCGCAGTCCAGTGATCACGTACATAAACAAATGAATTTAAATAAAAAGATTTTGACACGTCTTCTCCGACAAATGTAAAATTAATTATGCCTTGAAATAAACAAACGGAACAGTAAATGGATGTGCCACAGTAATTGGCTCCACTGCCGTAGGTACTTTTACCTTATCTTTTCCTGTAACAGTGGATGCAGCGTTCTAAAGGAAGATGCACGCTGGGACACGGCGCGGCGTGACAAGTGACACGGCACACGTGTATCAGTGCCCGCGGAACAACAGAATGTTCATTTATTTGTACACATTAGCCTGTGATTGTACGATACCATACGGCCCCGACACTTGCCATAGCACCTCGCCGTGCGTCATCTCCAAGGCGGCGGCGTGACAAAGCGTGTTTATAGACAGAGCGCATTGTACGCCGGAGAATCTGCACGCTATAATCGCATCTCTCGGTTCACGTAACGCGGTCCCAGGGAGCACTGGATGCAATTTTGCATTTGTTTCGTTGCTTGGCGAACCCGATACTGTCGTCGCAGGGACAAAGAAGTGACGAGCGCGGTAGGAGGAGAACGAAGGTCCCTTGATATGATGGAGACTGCGATTCCATTATGCAGAGCTTATACCGAACCAGGAACACTTTCTAACATATGTTCGAGAATCTCGCAATTTCAGGCAGCAAGGGATTTTTATTTCTGGAGGTCGTCTCGATTCGACGAGATACGACACAGCACCGTAGAATATTACGATTGCCTTTCTTCTCCACGAAACTTTCTGCTGTCAATAGTCCGAATGTTTAGTACACGTTGTCTTCCACCGTTCACGGTTACATCGTAATACAACGCAATCGCGTGGTTTTGCTTGCAACATATTTTTAACTATTACTGGACCGTAGGTTTTATGCATTTATGGCAACAATGGGTAGAAATAAATTGAATCGGCGAGAAGGTTGAAAGAAACTAAGAACGTTAATTTACTAATTTAAACTGATTCGAGTGATTAAACGGAGGAATAAACTTGTGCTGTATGTCTTGCAATTGACGCGGACAATTTTGATTTTGCACAAAGTGTACATTTTTTTAGAAACTTCACGAGGTTATATCCGTTTTGTTCCGTTTTGTAGATTCTGTTAAGCTCTTCGAGGATTTTATATTTTTCGCAGATTTTTGTAATCTTTCGTTTTAATCATCGTTACGATTCAAGTATTACAATTAATTTCAACTAAATTGATAGCTATCACTATGATTGATTCCTGTGTTTTCTTAACACTAAATGTACCGTGATCTAAAAGTGACTGACTTGTATTGCTTCATAAAAATTACAAGATTGAATTTATTTCAATTTTTCACAGTTTATTTGACCATCGCTTTATTCGACCAGCGGTCGTACGTTTAACGTTAAATCAGTCTTTGTCGTGTTAATAAAGCCAAGTTACATGAGAAAATCACTTTATCTCTAGAAGACTCCAAATTCTGTGCATTTGTTTATGCAATAGTTGCAAGTTGAAACGATAAAAAGTTTAAAAGAATTTTAAAATATCAACGTATCATTTCTAATCCATTAAAATTACTTAAGAAGGAATGAACCTGCTATTTATTTTCTATTTTTTGCAATTCTAAAGAAATGAAAAATATCCGCAGTCTGCTTTCTATTGAAAAATGCAGTAAGATGCACCGAATGTATACGTTTAAGACCAGCGTACAAAGTTTAAACAGTATAATTCGGAAACATGCTGCTTTAAAGGATCTACGTGCAGGAGTCTTTTCAATGTTGGGATTTACTGTAATCTCTTTCAGAATACGAAAATGTATATAATGCTGCACCGACTATCGCTCAACGGTATTTGAACTTTTATCCACACTTTAAAGGATCAAGGCAAATAACGGAGAAAATGAGAAATAATCGCTTACGTACTCCTCCACAAGTAATATTTACCGATAGAATACGGATTTTTATGCGTTTGCGACTGAACCGAGCAAGTAAAATGAATAACAGCGGAAAAATGAAGAAAACGTTGCAATATGAATTTTAATAAAACAGTGAATAATTTAATCAAAATAATAGTAGACATTTTTATTTGCCTCCTGTTCCGTGAAAATTACACAGAGAATTTGTATCTCGCACAAAAATCCGCAGTCTAACATTTAACTTTCTATTTTATTAAAATTTATATCCTCTCTTTGTCAAGCAAGCAAGATTTATACGCGAAAACGCGCGAATATAAATACGTACATTAATTCGAAATTTATAGTCATCGTTTAACAATCATTCGTGCTTGCAGAATACCAGTTAACAAATTTCGAACCTTACCAGCAGAGAATTGTCTTCCAATACGATATTTAAACAGCAAAGTTTACTTTCACTGCAAAACGAAATCGTCCAATTGCTTCGTCGATCGTTTCGATTTGTATCAGTTACCATCAGAGACTGCGAATTAATTAAAATTGAAACGATTGCGCCGGAATTCGTTCGTAATCATGACGGACGCAAATTACTTATGTCACTTACAAAATTGCGCGCAGCTGTTTACTCAAAGTCTAGAGGTTCCGCAACGAGCTTTTACGAAATTAAAATTTATGAAACCATTCTGTGAGACTTTGTGGCCACGATTGTTAATTACTGTTGGACTTTCTTCTAGCTTCTCCACCAACTTAGGATACGTTTGAGGCACGCTCTCTACACACCGATGCCGCTGAAGCAACCTTTCGTATTTCAAACATGTTCACCGTAATTCGTACGAACTCGTATTTCGCATTTGTTGCTCTAATCCGCGCTATTTTAATCCATAATTTCGCTCCGTTAGTCGT